TTTTTTTTCAATTTTGTTTTCAGAAATTGGAGATTACTCTTCGACCATTACTTTGAACCAAAAATCCAAATTTGAAGAAAATTGCCGATCTGAAGGTATACTGTAACCTTAAGTTCGTCTCATGTGAAGTTTGACGTTTGGCCTGGGCCTGAGCCTCCTTAGCCCGTTCCAGGCGTTTAGTTAGTTTGGGCGCAGCGTGAAATGGCGCACCATAAAAATGGCTGGGGAGTTCGCTCCTCGCAATATTAGACTCAAACACCTAGAAGAGTCTATAACCCCTTGTCACGCAACCTTTTCTCCCCAGTTCCTTGGGCATGAAAGATTGCGTAACAAGCCATAAGAACGTCTGCGTGGGAGGCTGTCGTGTTATTAGCTTTTTGTGTACATTTGAAGTTACTGCCAGACCTTGTAGAAATGCTTTATCGAAAAGCAACCAGCGCGCCGATTTTTGAGGCAAAGTACTTAGTGTAAAATTGCGACTACAAAGCGATGTTCCATTGTACTGTCTATTCAGACTGTTCCTAAGCAAAAAAAAAAAACAAAAAGGAATTTACCGAGTTAATATTGTGTTTATTCTTTAACTAGACACAAGGGAGCTGTGGCCGGCTGCGGTTTCGTTCTAATCTTCCAAGGGACAGATTAGATCTGATATTCGAACGAGCAGCGTCTACAAGCAGTGTCTGTGTTTTTTTTCTCTTTATCAGTCAAACGTTACGCGAAATCCCTCTCCTCTGCGTCCCTCGAGCGTGACGTGAAATAACGCGTGAAAGGAATTCGCCGTCAGTTATAAACGAGCGGCAATCTAGGTACGATTTGCAAGCGTAAGTGCCTTTATGAATCGTTTGGACAGACAGCCAATATTGCAGAAGAAGGCGAAACAGTACCCGCGGAAGATACATTGAAGGTTGCTCTGACTGAAAAAGATATAACTGGTGCAAAACGTCCTCTCAAAACTGTAGAGCAATGCAGTGTTGTGCAATTAAAAACTTGGTGTTCGTTCGTGTGACGCTCAAGGAACTCGGAGGAAAAAAGAGGTGCTGCTCGTAATCTAATGCGACCAGGAATGTTCCATTCAGTACGCGCAGAAGTATGTATAGAGCTGGGGTACTGTCTCTTCTCGGTTTTTGCTCGGATGTAAACTTTGGTGCGTAAATAATCACCCTGCACTGATTTCTGTGCGGCTCACGATACGGAAATAAGCGGCAGTAACTGAGCATATTCTTACCGGCCGAAGGGAATGGTTGGGTTAAAGAAAAATAATTAATAACGGTGGTTTGCTCTTTTGTATGTACTCTACCATGAGACGCTAAAGAAAAGAAATGATTTGTTTTATATTTTCAGCCAAATCAACAGGTAGTGACGATGCCTGTGGCAGGTGAGATGTTTGACAAAAAAAATACTGAATAATAAATGAAATAACTGCCAGTAAAGTAACTACTTTTTGTGCGCACTGAACTTATATTGATCAACGTCCCACAGTGTGCATTCTGTTTCAATTATTCCAAACTTTTAGCTATCCCAGGACTGTAAAATATTTCTTTGATTCGTAAATACTTTATATGTGCAATTTGAAATAGACAGACATTTTCCCTGAGAAGTCCGGAGAGGTTTTAACAAAGCACTTTATAAACACTTGTTTGAGGGGCCAATTCATATTATCATTAAGTCATACCTTTAGATGTGTTGATTTGGCGCCTTGTTTCTTCTTTCTCAGCTCCTACCTCTTGGACATCTGCCTCTAGTACTCCAGTGTATTACACTACCCTAAACCAGGTACGTGCACGCTAATGACCCATAGAGCTAGGCTCACTCTGTAGATGTCAACAAACTCTGCGACCATGACGTACTACGTACTTTCCACAACTCTGCTGAATCTGCTGAACAGCGAAACATGAAATTCATTTGCGGGCTTTAACTGTGCTAAAATCGTGTATGTGCTCGTTTTGTAGTTTTAGTCGTTCAAAAGCGATCCAAACTTATTCACTTATTACAATAGCGGAGCTCCTGCGCGTCGAAGGCGCGCGAGCGGAGCCCCATACCTTAGAAAATTTGGTAACCGATCGATCTGAAAAATTTTGGTTGTCACGTGAGTGTCCGTACGTCCGTCCGTCCGTCCGTCCGTCCGTCCGCACGCCAAAACCTTGAGAAAACTAAGAGAGTAGCACCATTACTATAGCTACATCTTTGATTTTGGGCGTCCACGCTATTGTTGATTGACAGCTGTCACAACAAGCTATCTGCTGGTCAGTATCACAAGACTATATCGCGGGCTCAGGTTTAGGCAAGCAATAGACTGCAAGGCTGATACTACGTGAAAAACGTTTCGAGACACCAACATGACAAGAACCGATAAAGTAGGATCGCACCAGTGGACAGCTGTTTCGCCCTTGTTGGGGCTCGTCAGCACTGTGTAGCGAAGATATGTAACTCCAGCCCAACAGCCAACGCACATAAATTGCAAAATGACCCCTGCACTAGATCAAGTTCCGTACCTTGAACTCACTTGCGCCCCGAAACACGCGTTGCCACATCACGTGTTTCGGCGCGCAAGGAGACAAAGTGTCAAAATTGGTGTCTCGAAAAGCAAAAGAATAAATGTGGCTGGACAAGGCCAGCCTAAACATTTAAACATTCAACCACATAGCCAGTACCATGCTTTAAAAACGCAGCGTATCGGATCTGAAAAGACCTACGGTCCGAAAATACATGAATGAGAAACCGGAAACTGCAAGGGACCGCATACGATCGTATGCGGTCCCTTGCAGTTTCTGGTTTCTCGTAGACATTTAGATAAGTTCCTAATCTATCTATATGCAATCAGTCTTGTGACAATCAAAAACGTGCTACGATGCTCAAATTTTATTCCTTGCTATTTTATGTATAGTAGGGAGAATGCCGCGAATGGTTTAAAATGGCGTTTTCCGTTTCTAAATACTCGTATTAGTTCCGGAGATTTCTAAATTTAAAGAATTGTAAAATATGCAAATTAGGATACCGATCACGTCATAAACTCAATCCAATCAATAAATAGAGCCATCTCGGTCAATTTGCTTCACGGACCATTGAAACTTGGCAGAGTAATCGTTCTACAGACAGCACACTTACGGCTGTTATAAAATTCCGTTCATATGGCAACACCCTTTCCTGGCTCCCTCCAACCTGTTTTCAGTATTTCAGTCATTGAAAATTAAATAAAATTAAACCCGGCCAACATCTAGACCTAATCATGCAGATGAGGCTTCATTGGCAAATATCAAAATGGAAGACCAAGATGGCCAGAAAAGCTTTTAACATCGGGAGGTCTGGAATCCAACAGAGTCTAGTATCAAACTTCTGATTCAAATTGGTTGAGATATCTTTTACTTCGTGCGTTTACATATCACCCAGCAGTACGTGGCCTAAAAGAAATTNCATTGAAATAACACTTTTTCGAAGACATGAACTGTTCAGATAGCCAAGTTCCCCTAAATAAGTCACCTTTTAACCATCGTGACAGCTCTCTAGGCCGTCATGTGAATGCAGCGTCATGCAAAAGCTTAGAAATTCAAGCGTAGTATATCGCAAAACCAAGAACCCATTCGGAGCGAAAATTTGTATGAATATTAGTTTTCAACCCCTCTTATACATCATTTTAGTAAAATCTCCGGAAGATCAATAGTTCTGTAGTTCGAATTTTAGTGACGTCATTTCAGAACCAGCTATTCCTGGTACAATCGTCCCTTGGAAAGTCCCAGATATATTACATACGTAATTTCTACAATCTTGGTTAGGCTTGTTGGGTATAGTTTGTTGAACAATTACATGCTCAAAATTGATCGTTTTTTGAGTTTCTGATCCAAGAAAAATAATCCTCTTTTTCCTTTATCGTCAGTTATTGCTATCAGGAGCTCCGCTTTTAGGCTTGGCTAAATCTACATATTATTTATAGAGAGAATTTGACAATTGTTAGGCCCCGTTCTTCGAAAAACGTTAATCTGGGATTGAAAGCCTGAGTTAAACAGTTTAGTCCGGCTTATTATCATTTTAACAACAACTTGATCGCAGTCTTTGGCGTCACACATAGAGGAGACTGCTATCCTTTTTGAAACTATGGGATTTCTTTCCTTTGCAGGCACCCCAGATACCAACGATACAGTTACCTTCCGCGAGAGCTTTGTCCTTGGTACCAGGAGGAGTAACAGTCGCTCATCAGCCTGCCGAGATCGCGCCACAGTATTATTATTTATATTATTAGTGTTGTACTTATCACGCGGTATTGCGGGACGTGCCATAAAAACGTCTGCATTGCTACAACCGATGACCGAAGTAATTAGGACGGTTCGTAAAATCTCGATACGAGAAATACATTTTAATTTTAACTAAACTAACGCCACGCATGAGGTTTTGTTGTTTTGCCCCAGTCCCCCGTATCAATGTGTATGCTCTACTGAACAATACGGTGTTACGAAGTCTTTGGTAAGCCACAAGATCGAGTAGGAAGGAAGGGGAGGGGAGGTTAGGCCTTCTTAACACTTTTGTCGTTGGTTGTAGTTAAAAACCAAGGGTTGAGTACTGAAAGAGAAAAAAGCTTGGCCGTTTTTTCACCATTTCTGTCACTTTTTGGTCTGTCGTTATTGGACTACAAACTGAGCGGAATTTCAGCTCGCATTAGATATTCTTGCACCTCTTTACAGCTTAACTCTCTTTCCTTTACAGACGATAATAGAAAAAGGCGTACCGTGTAGTTATAGAAATGTCAGTCACTTGGCTCTCTTCGTAAAAAAAAAACTATTGAACTAGACCGAGAGATGTAGTTTTTTCACAAGGGGGTTCTTGCGCAACAACAATTAAAAAAGACTCGAGGAGCGAGATTTTACTCAGTTGCAACCATCGACTCCATCGTATTATTTTCGGCCGGGACGTATGAAACGTCAATTTTTCACACCTAAAATCTCCGTTTATTCTTCGGGTTATCTGAGTCTCTTTCTGTTATCAGACGTTATAAGAGACATTGATTTCGCGCAAGCCCTGCCGGTGAAGTTCGTCTAGGTGCAGATGACCTACATTCGGTCTGCAGGGTTCTCGCCAAAGCCCTGTAACTGAATTTAGTAGATGGAGTTATTTCAACCCATTGCTAGACACCAGTAAGTGCAGATCTATAACGTCAAACTGGAGGAGAAAACTGTAAATAAAAAGCCACCAAAAAAACTATCGTATGTTTGACTGAGCAACATTAAAGGGGCAGAGATACATTCAGTAGAAATGTTCCAACGTGTGTCCCTCTTCCCCATAGACCTTCTAACATTGTCAAAAGTTACATTTGGTACTGTCCTTGTAACTTTATCCTAAGGATACTATGATATTGGTAGTGTACTGATGTTGTAAGCTTAAACTTAATGAAATTTTCTTTTACACAATCTAGACAACGACATACATGTTTGTGTGTTCCGCAATACGTTGCTACGTTTTTTATTGGTCTTGTAATGCGAAAGGTTTCCATAAAAAATGTGATTTATCTCATGGTAGAAGTATCGTAAGGTAGTTGTAGGTAGGATCTGTAAATAGGATTATGAAGATGATTTTTAGCCGTTATTCAGTGTATATACAGACTACTACTTTGCTTAGCTCCTTCAAGTCGCCTGAGATGCAAGGTTCGTTTGGTTGCCTTTTTTGTTTTAAAGAAGACTTAATAAAGGTACAGATATTTTTGTAACACGCAAGTTCTGTTGTTATTAACGAACCCTACCTTTCCCAGGTTATCCAGGACCAATTCTCTCTCATGAAATGTCAAATTTCCTCAGTTGCGAAAAATACTTAGAAGTATTTAGTATGAAGTCGATGATACGACGGAGTCTTTCTGGCAATACCTCGGCTTAGTCCCTCATCGTTGTTCGCTCAGGGCTCTATTTA